TTTCTTTTGCTGAACGTTGTATGTATTTTTTTTGTTTTTTTTTTGTTTTTTTTTGTTTCTTTTTGTTTTTTTTTTTGTTTTCGGTGATGTCCTACCGGTTGTCCGAGGCTCGGCAATAAAGTCCGAGGCTCGGGAACGACCGGCCTACCGGTAGGCTGAGCCACGGGCCTTAACAACCGGCAGGTACTGGTGGTTTAAAGACAACCCGAACAAATGCCAGGGGCCCATTGCTAATCTTCCTTTCTCTGTTATCTTTCCAATTTTAACAGATGCTGCGGCGAAAGACCCTGTGCAGCAAAGTAAATGGCTGGAACTCAGAAGGGCATAACTTTTTGCAAAAAGCAATAAAAAAATCAGCAAGAAAACAGACCACAGGAGTGATGTTAAGGACTGAAACCGTGACAGAACTGTCATTACTATCATCCACTCTATCTATTAACCCCTCCCTTTTCTCGGAATCATGTGTGTTTGGTTGTCGCTGTTTGCCAAATTGCAAATGCATTATCAGGTAGGCGATGCTAGTGGGATTCAGTCACCTCTCTCATTTGGAGGCTTTGGAAGTATTGCAAGGCATCTCAAGAGGCTGGCTTCAGGTTAGGATGGATTGCTGTGCCTCACTCGCCCTGGGGCCTGGACCCACTAGCGAAGTATTCTACGACGTGTGACACAGTTTTATGGTTTTTTGGAAAATACAAAGTGATTTTTTATTTGCATGAATGGATCGTTTTCTGATTTAAAATGAATTGAAATAGCACCTAAAACTATGAAGAACAGCTGTGCACCCGAATTCATGGGTTGGTACGATCTCCTTCACGTAAGTCTTCATAGTGATGTACCGTGGCAATAAAATGTGTCCACGAACACATTCACGAGGATGAACAAGTAACGGGTATTGGGATACATTCCTCGCGATGTATCTCATGATGCCTTTAGCAGGCCATCCGACAGACGTGGAAGAGTTCCTGTCAGATGCACCACAATATTCGAATTTCACATTTCAAGTTCTATTTCTCAGAGCCAAAAAAAAAAAAACGAAGTCATGAAATCAACCCCCACCCTTTAAAGCCCATAAAATCCTGACTTCCCGCCCACGCAAAGCCACGAGCTATCATGTCCTTTTTTTTTTTCTTTTTTTTTTTTCTTTTTTTTTTTTGAAAAGCCCTTTGTGCAAGACCTCTATCCTGGTGGTGGTAAGAGAACCACCGGGATTGAGGCTTTGCCTGGCGGGCCGCTCCATCTATTGGTGGGGAGCATCACCTGCTGGAAAGCGGGTCCAGCGTCCCATAATTACAGCTTGTTGCACAGTACCATAATGAGAGTGACGTCAGAGTGCTGGAAACCGGGTCCAGCGTCCCATATCTATTCCACTCTTCCCTGCCTAGCCTGCAGCAGGGTCGGGTATTGGGGGGGGGGGCACCCGGGGGCACCAGTGGGCTCTCCCTCCATCCCCTCGCCTCTGCCATCCACCAGCTAGCCTCCTGACTCCCATTGTCCTTACAGTAGCATATGTTTGAGAGAATCAGCTAAATCAGCTAAAACTTTACAATAGCATACGTTGGAAAGAATCAGCTAAAACCGCTAAAAACAGCCAGGATTACTTGGAGAAGTACAGAGGGATATTGAAGAGACCTTTGCTGTCCTGTATCTGAATGAAAGTGCTGCCCAAGTGCTGGAAACCAGGTCCAGCGTCCCATCTCCCCTCTACTCATTCAGCTGAGGTCTTTTAAGGGGTCCAGGTGAGGGGAGTTGAAGCAAGGCAATGGAGGGCTGTCAGAGATTTCTTAAGAGGGGAACGGGAGAATAGGAGAACGGTCATGCAGGCAGCAAAATTTCAGTTAAGGAGAGCGGGTGGGGGGGGAAGGGGTCTGCGAAGTCCTGGGCTGCCCTTAATGCTTCACCTGGGTCTATATTGGTCCAATCATGGAAAACCAGCCGGTAATCCCTTTCTATTCCTAACCCGGGTTCCTCCTGTGGCCCCTTCTCCGGTGGATCACTCCTAGACCACTTTACCTCGGCCACCCATCCTCCCCTTTCCTTTCCCAACCATTTCTTGACAAAGCCAGAGATGGCTTGGTTTATGTCCCCCCAGTTGTGCATAAGATCAAGCTTGTCTTTAACAACCTTCCATTGGGTCGCGATTTCGTGTTGGAATAATGTCCTGATCTGTTCCATAACTTCTCCGTCTTCCACCCGTGCTCCTTCTATTTCGAGGATACACCTCTTCCACCATATGGTCCGTAGGACACTCCTTCTTCCCAGACTGAACATGTTCTCTTCGAAGACATTCTCCCGAATTTGTGGGTAGTATCCCAGGAGTATAGCCCTCCAATCCCATGGCCATTCCGCCCCAGGAACGATATGCCGCCAGATCCTATCCCAGGTTCTCCACAGTAGTACAGACGCAGGGCACTGCAAAAAGATATGTTCAATAGTTTCAGCCCGCCTCCTCCCAGGATAGCTCTGGAGGCATTTGCGACACCATGGCAGCGCCTTTCCTTGTTGTTCTAGCCGGGTGTGATCTATCAACCAATCGTTAGTAGGTAAACATCTGTGTTCTATTTGCCATTGGGGGGCGGATATCTTAGCAGGCTTGTACCTATACTGTGCAAACCATCGATTAGGCTTGAGCAGGCTGCGGTCAATGTTGAGATGGCGGTACCATCTGTCTTCCACGCGCTCTCGCAGCCCCCTCTTGGGTCTTAGCATACGGTAGGCGGATTTAGATTTCAAGTTATATAGTGACAGCGTGACAACCCCCCCTTTTCCAGGCCTAATACCTTGGGTCCATTTCCATTCATCGGGGTCTAGGGGGAGGTCCTCGATCGGGGTCATTGGGCGATGCACTTTTTGGTGGCCTCCTTCCTCAATGATCCTGATGCGATATACCCCTTTTCTCTCCTTCCATACGAAGGGTTGTTCGTTCCATTGTAGCCCATCATCCTTTTGAATGGAAAAAACTTCTATTAACACGTGAGATGGATCAGTCAGGTGCACCCGCCCCACTTCCATGTTGCAGCCGGGCAGCCCCACCCAATCTCCCTCCTCTACGCAGGGGCCTTTTCTGAGGGTGGTGTACCAGTGGAGGGGAAAGCTATCAATGAGTTCGTTTAGTGTCTGCTCAGTGAGATGGCAGTACCTCAGCCAAGCACGCATCCGTCCGTGTTCTTCCAACTTCTTGTTTCCTGGTCCCATAAATCCCCAACTCTCCGTACCCCGTGTTTTACCCAGCCCTTCCAGGGCGCGTCCGAGCTGCACCGTACCCGCCCTTCGGCGTCTGTTATCAGCCGGTTGCCGAAGAGGGGTTGCCGGAATAGTTCTTCCCACCTTTCTGGCGCTGGACGGTGGGGGGGGGGGAGTCTCCTCCAGGYATTTAAAAGGCGCACCCAGTGCTTGTCGGCAGGGTCTCCGTTTCTATATTTCCTAGGCACCCTCCAATACCTGTCCTCTAACCACACCCGGGGGTCAATCTCCGGCAGGGTTTCCGGGGCTAGGTCTGCGAGTTGGGCCAGGGCTAAGGGTGTCCATGGGGATGAAGGTGAGAAGATTATGTGTTGGATCCAGCGGATTGTGAGGGCGTGGAATTGCGTCGCCGGGTCCATGATTCCTAGTCCTCCTCTGTTCTTGGGTTGGATGACTGAGTCCCATGCGACTCGGCTTATCGCGTGGGGGGTGTTGCTGTCGCCTCTCCAGAGGAAGGCCGCCAGCTGTTGTTTGAGTGCTTTGAGGCCCCCTCTACTCATAGGCCATAGGATGGCCTTGTATCAGAGTGTAGCCAGGATTACATTATTGATAACCAACGCTCTCCCGAAAATTGATGTGTGTTTATTATTCCATTTTTCAAATTTGGCTTTCGCCGGACCAGCCAACCATTCGTTGTTAGTTGTCGGCTTTCCTTTGGCAGTCATTTGTGCCCCCAGAACTCTCAAGGGATCATCTGGGGGGAGCCATGTGATTCGCGGGTTTTCCGAGGGTCTCCCCCCCCTGATGGTGGAACCACCAACCCACTGTTTTCTGTCCCCAGTTAACCATCATGTCGGATAACTGACAAAACTTGTTCATGAGCCGCTGGATCTCCTCCATGTTGGATTATGTCGCTTCCATCATGATGGTTAGATCGTCTACAAACAGGGAACAAATAGGGATTGCCTCTTGTGGAATATTGGAGATCCTAATGCGCCTAAGGTCTTTGTTTTATCGCAGGTTAGCTGATAATGCTTCCATTATTACTATGAAAAGGTATGGGGCAATAGGGTCCCCTTGCCGCACTGATCGCTGGAGCTCAAAGGGCGGTGTCACTGACCCATTGACCTGGACACAGGTGGTGGCATTTTGGTGAAGGATCTTAACCCAGCGCCGAAACGTTGGCCCGAAGTTAATTTTCTCCAGACATTTGTCCAGAAAATCCCAATCCACGTGGTCATACGCTTTTTCGAAATCAATGAAAATGATGGTCGAGTTTGCCCGGTTCCGTTGCGCCAGTTGGACCACTTCTTTTACCAGTAAGATGTTTTCATGTATGTTCCTGCTGGACATAACCATGTTTGGGCCGGGTGTATGACCTCTTCCAAGACTGTTGCCATCCGGTTAGCTAGTGCTTTGGCAAACATTTTGTAGACTACAGTAAGCAGAGTAATAGGCCTGTAGTTCCTGATATTCATTTTATCCCCTTTTTTGTAAAGGAGAGACAGCACCCCTTTGCCTACGACCTCCCCCATTTCCCCAGCCTCCCATACTTCTTGATAGTACTCCCACAGGTCGATGCTCATGTCTGTCCATGTGGCTTCCCAGAACTCTTTGGGAAAACCATCTATGCCAGGGGTTTTTTCTTCCTTCATTTGGAGGAGTGTTGTCCATACCTCGTCTTTCGTGAGTGGGGTCTCCAATCTGTCCCGTTGTTGGGGGGATATAAAACGGTCCATTGGGGAGAGGAATTCCTGTATTTTCGTAATTCTAGCCTCCCCGTGCGGGGATGGGATTTGGGAAGTATACAGTTCCTTGAAGAATTTCCTGGTGATCAACATACAGTGCGTTGTGTCGGTGGCGATGGTGTCGCTGTCCGTCGGGTCAAAAAAAGCCTCGATAGCCGTCCGTCTAGCTCTAGCGGTGGCCATCGAAAAAAATTGGGTGTCCATCGATGCTTCGTGTGAAAGTTTAGCCATTTTTCCTCGGATTCTAACCCCTTGCCATCGGTGGGATGCGAATTGCAAGAGCTGATCTTTCTTAATTTGGATAGTTGTAATAAGGTGGTGCGGCTCTTGGGTGGGGAGGGAGAGATGTTGTGACTCTACCTGCTGTTCCAAGGCTATTAGTTCGTTGTGGGTGGTCATTTCTTGATATTGTCGTAACGCCGCCTTGGTTTTGGAAAATTCCTTACACTTCTTTGCTAGGAAAATTAGCCCATTGTTGAACCATACTAGACGAGAATGAAAGAGATGTTTCTGTTGGCGCCAAAAGTTCCATTCGTGCTTGATCATTTGCGAGAAGGAGGTGTCGTTAAGCAGGGAGGTATTTAGTTTGTAGAATCCAGGTCCTTGGTCGGGCCTTTTCCTCATAGTTAGTACTATAGCGCATGTCTTATGGTCCAACCCCGGATGCGGGCTTCGCGGGAGGATCAATGCCCATCGCAAAGCCCCTTCCAGATCGTTGGATAGGAGGATAAGGTCAATTCTGGATTTGGATAAGCATGCCGAGTCGCTGTCACGTATGCATGTAAAGACTCGTGCTTGGGGGTGCAGGCGGCGGAAAGTATCGAAGACCGAAAGTGACTCACAGAGGTCAGTTATCATTTGTTCGTCCTCTGCCGCCGCGAAGGGAGGTGATTCCTGAGGCTTCCATCTGTCCAGCCCTCTGTCGGGAGTGGCATTGAAGTCTCCTGCTATAACTAGGGGAATGTCGTCCGGGACTTGTATGCCGAGCCTCCCCAAGAACTCCCTCCTTTCCCCTACTGTGTTGGGAGAGTAAATGCAGAGAATACAAAGTAATTCTAGCTCTAGCATGCCCAGGACCGAGGCCCAACGTCCCTCTTCTTCGTCCACCACCCAGTGGACTGGTTGAAATCTAGAGTCTGGGGGAACCCAGATTGCTACCCCTGCTGAGCCAGGTCTCGGGGCATGAGCTCTTATGGCAGTGTGGGGCCATATTTGCTTGTGCGCTCTGTTATGCTCTGGGTTGTCTAGCAGATGGGTTTCTTGTATGCAAATTACATCTGGCCATCGCCTTCCTCCAACTCCTTTGAGTTGATCCCAAATGGCTTGGCGCTTTTCGGCTTTGCATGATGCCAGGCCATTAACGTTAATGGAGCGCAGATCAAGGTCGGTTGACTCGACACATTTTCGCCACGCAGGGTTCTTACAGTATAGTGTCTCAAGGTCATCCATTTCTTCTTATCCTCTTTGGATCCTTGGATCGTTTCCTTTGGAGCAGATGCCCTAGCTTATGGTCTCGTTCGTCGAGGTGCGTTATAGTGGGTTATAGCGGGTGCCAATGGTTGAGGTCCCATTTGTCTAGGTGCAACACTTTTTTTCGCACAATCCGACATAGGCATCGACATACGTCATCCTCTGACCAGAAGTCGCTGGCTTTGAGTTTTGCGCATTGCAGATCCAGTAAGGCGTTGTGGCTAAACCAGCCCAAGTTAGAAGATTTGTTGGGTTCAAAGAGCAGGTACAGGTCGTTACGGGCTATTTGTTCGCCAGAGGCTTCAAACCTCAACCCTGCCCTTGCGCCCGGAGTGTAGTGTTTGGGGATAAAAGCCGACAGTTGGCCGGTGAACACTCTGCCTCTTTCCATGCGGTCCTCTTCGTGAAGTGAGAACTCCCAGCCACGAGCTATCATGTCCAAGTTAGTCCAGCTTCGTTGTTTTTTTTTTTCTCGACGCATCTCATTGGACGAGAGGTGGGCATGTTTACAGTCCCCGCTCCGAAACTACCAGGCCGTCGAGATCCGATCTATTCGACGGCCATACTGAGTCACTCGATGCCACACGTGATCGAAATCCTGAACGGTGTGGTAGAATACCTTGCTAGTGGGTCCAGGCCCCTGTATGATTTTTCTGACCTTCTACCCGTTTCCTTGGAAGAATAAACTTTTTTTTTTTTTTATAACAAATTAATTGGACTGAACGTACTACAGTCTTCCCGCGAATACAACGCACGGTCATTATAGCTGAATTTAGACTGAACAATAGACCAAATTCGGCGATAATGACTGTGCGTTGTATTGGGGGATGACTGTAGCGATGGTGATACAAGCAGCCACCCCTAGTTGACTCATGTCCACCTGCTCCATGTATTGGTGGGAAGCTGCACCTACTGGAAATCGGGTTCAGCGTCCCGTAGACATCCTTGAAATAGTACATCACCAAACATAAGCTCAAAGGGGGAACAGAAATGCCTCTTCAGTCACTCCTGGGACCGCCAGGGCCATGGTCCCATTAGCAAAGAGCATCGGATTGAATGCCTGAATCTGGACATGTTTGAGGACAGGAGCAGGAAATCGAGATAGAACTGCTTTTCTGTATCTCTGCATAAA